TTTGTTTTGTTGTGGAGGGTGTGGGGGGAGGAAGGGGGCGGGAGGACCAACCTGTCAACGTGGATGTTGGGTAATAAAACCTTGCACAAACCTCTGCGTGGGGCTGCCTGCACGTCCCTCCTCTGGGGCTGAGCGGGGACAGCGGGGCAGCCCAGGGAAGGGTCCCAGGGACAAGAAGCCAGGCCGAGCCCTGCGGTGGCACCAGCCTGGGCAGAAACCAGCACCTCATGCTGGGAGAGAGGACCTCAAACTGGCTGAGCCCCCAGGCAGACGGGCTGATGGCCACAGGACACTGTGACCCACGTGGGACAGGTTTATTGCCAGCCTCTGAGCACGACATCCCCAGAGCAGCTGCCAGAGTCCCGCTCTGGCCCTGCTGCTCCCCGCGTGCCTGCTCACAAGTCCGTGGTGGTGAAGGTGGTGTTGATGTGCACTGTTTTGGTGGGCATCTTCAGGTTCAGGGCTGCCACCAGCGCCTCCTCATCGGTGGTGTCCATCAGCTGCGCTTTGCCCTGCTGCAGGAGGAGAGCGTGGTCAGAAGGGATAGGGACACTCCTGTCCTTCCCAGGAGCTGGAGGCTGTCAGGGACATGGAGAAGATGGGACGAGAGGCGCACGAGCCCGCCCGGGGACCACAGCAGAGAGGAGGGGACAGGGAGTGCAGTGGCACTCCCTGCTGGGCACCAGCAGCTCTTTCCACACTGACCTTGGCCTTGAGGCTGTCATCTCCAGGTGCATTTACTGTGTTCTCATCCAGAGAATTCATGCTGTGGAGAGTGGAGGGTGAGGGGTAGAAGAGGGCCCCAGCACTGGTGGAGCAGGGACGCAGGGTGACGGCCCCGTGGCCCTCGAGACCTTCCCACAGAGCTCACCTGGCCACAGAGCTGGAGTCATCGTGGAAGCCCAGGTCGTGGGAGGGATCGAGCGAGACATTCAGGATGGGGTTGGCCCTGGCCAAGGATGGGTGGCAGGTGAGCGACGGGGCTGTGGGGTCAGCCCCGGGCAGCCGTGTCCCCCAGGCAGGAGGGGTGTGACAGAGCCCTGCAGCCCCTGGGTGCGGGGACATGTCTGGGCTCTGCCCTCCTGCCGCGGGGAGCCCCCCACTCACCCCTCTGTGTT